GGGGGCTGCGGGGGGCTTTTGATTTTAATAACGGATTTGGGGGGTTTTATCAGAGAATTTGCAATTTTTTGTCAGAGAATTTGTGATTTTTTTTATCAGAGAAAATAAGGATCCCTGCTGATCGCCATGGTGCCCCAGGCTCACCTGCACACGTGGCATAGTACACTGAGCTTCAGTGGGGCAGCAGGCAAGCCTGCTGTGCCCCACAACCTTCACTGCCACCTGGAGGGTGACCCATAGCTGTGCTACACATTCTTATCTCCCCAACCTCCAGCCAAGGAGGACATCACCACCATCATCAACACATTCCTCAGCATGTGAGAGGCCCATGTCCACCTAGCTGTGGGGGCACAGGCTGCTCAATATTTTTTTGCACTGTCTCCCACCTCCCTGTGTGCTATGAGGGGGGAGCCCAGGGGCCAGAGAAGCGTGGCAGAGATGGGAGCAGTGGCTGGGGAGGGGTGGGGAGGACCCTCCTCCCCAGTGCGGGGTTTACCATGCGAGTGGAGCTGGCATGCCTGGCAGCTTGGGTCGGTCCCAGTTCGCAGTAATGGTGTACAGCTTCTGGTGGAGTCGTCGGTCAGAGAGGCACAGCATGTGGCTGTCCAGGCAGTGGCCACACCCCCAGGGAGGAGCTGGCACTGCTGGCAGCTGGCAGAGACATGGCTGGCTGGGTCTTGTGACTGGAGCTGAGGTCACAGAGCTGGTGGGGCAGGCACTGGCTCTGGCTCCTTGAGCTGCTGGAGGACACTGTGAGCAGGGACCTCAGCAGGATGGGCTGCTGGCAGGCCAAGGGGCTCTCCCCTTGTGATGCATCACTATAGATGCCAGGCCATAGCAGGGGCTCAAGCAGGCCACCTGTGCTGCAGTACACAGCATGGCTGTAGCCTGGGTCCCAGGGTGTGAGGATGGCATCCAGTTGCCACATAAAGGACATGGACTTGTGGGCACTCCCTGACTGATGGTTGTGGTCCATGATGGTGACCCACTGTGCCCTGCAACACCTTGACCTTTATGCACACTGCCGTGCCTACCAGTCATGCCTGCAGTCCCGCATTCAGCCTGACAGTTCTTCCTGCACATGTGTATTGGAGTGCCCACCCTGCATGAACTGCCTCTGCACCTCCGTCTAATGCCATAGCACCATAAGGGTCCCAGGATCCTCCATCGACCAGCTGGGGCCCCGGGAAGCAGCATGTGGCATCGGCAAGGATGCCATTGGGGGTCCTGCGATGGCTCACTGGGCCTATGCATGGCTGTCCTGGTACTGCTGGGCCTGGGCAGCTGCCTGCAGGCCCAGCACAGGGGCACAGCGCGGGACTAGCAGCTACACGGTGAAGCAATGTCCCACAGAACCTGCAGGGTCCAGGCAGGCTGTGGGGGGTTGCCTGTGGCCAGCTGGAGCTGGCCCCAGTGGCCAGGAGCTGGCTGAAGCTGGGTCCAGGTGCTGGTACACCTGGCAGGAGCCTGCAGTTCCCCATGGGTCTGGATGGTGCAGCCCTGGCAGCCACACCATACTGCAGTGCCAGGGAGCAGTGCCAGAGTGCAGACAGCCTGGCAGACCTGGTCTGCAGCCTACGCAGGGGCAGCCAGTGGCCAGCAGTCGCTCCAGGCTCCCTGCTTACAGTGCCTGCAGACTTTTAAGTGCCTGGGGCTGGCATAGAGCCAGCCCAGACCTGGGGCAGAAGAGGCACCAAGCCCCAAGGCCCTGGGGCTAGCCTGAGGCTGCTCCCTAGTGGCAGGGCTGACCGGGAGCAAATTTGCTCCTGGTTGGCATCTACACATGCACTACTGCGCATTAACTACTTGCAAATAAATTTGCTACTTGCATTTGCAGGTAGCAAATTTACTTGTAAGTAGAGCAGTTAACTGTGCAGTAAGCATGTGCACATGTAGACATGGATGCTTACTGCCTAGTAAACTGCTCTACTACACAGTAAAGCATCTTGTGTAGGTGCACCCATTTAAATGCCCATCTAGAACTTGCATTTTGAGAGGATTTGCTTAATTTGTTGTTTCCATATATATTTGTGCCTGGAAACTCCTTTACTAGAACAATAGTGGAAAGGGTATCTAAAAAGGGAACAAGCAGCTCAGGGTGAGCTCACTTGAATATTCATTTGACTTTTAAGGAGAATGGTATGTAGCATTCAGCCACCACTGTTGTTAGACTTCACTTTTTCTGTGTGTGTCATGGTATTTAGCTATTATTATGAAAACTATGGCTGATGTAAAAGCAAAGTACTATTGATCCAAGCATAAGGGTGAGGAGTCATGTTAGGTGGAGGTGGTAAGCACATTGAGGATGTCAGCACCTGGAAGGGATAGAACAACCTTAGAAGCTCCAGTTCTTTTTCCAAGGACTGGTTTAGGGAAGGTACAAGGAAGGCAGGTCAGTCAGGTACTTTTGGGGCAACTAAAGTGAAAGAAAAAGGTAGATATTCAGGAACAGAAGAACCTGAGGACTGGTAGGCATGGAGTGGGCAGCGACTTATAACTGAGCCTGTATTTATTACAAAATTGATCATGGCAGCTAATACATAAAAATGACAAAGTCATTTGGAACTGTGAAACTAAGGCTGTGGTTAAAGGAAAAGGACATGGACAGTGAGTGCCTGAGACTTGTGCTTATGCTAAAGCAAACAAATAAAGCCATGATCTGTGCAGAACAGTTAGCAGCAGCTAAAACGCTACCTTTCCATTTAATCACCACCTTTACAGTAGTAAACAAATCTGGTTTAAAATGTAGTTTTGAAACTAGTGTAATAAAAATATGGCAGCAGAGAGGGCTCAATACAATTGAACAAGGCACAGTTGTTCTGTTTACAGAAAATGCGAGTCTTCTGAGATAAGGCAAAACGGATCTGGCAAGTGTGAAGGAGACAGTTTAAATTAACCATGAGAAGGATTAGAAGTGTCATAGGATTAGAGGAACTGGCACAGCAAATGCAAAATCCATCCAACACCAAGGCCTGCTCGAGAAGCCAGTCTGTGCCTTTCAATGGAGCTGTGCATCCAAATCATATTTCTCACAGAATTTGTCTGTGAATGGAATACATGTGAGGAACTCACACCATTCACACTTGATTGGGTAGAAATAAAACAGAATCACAAGTCCAGAGAAGAGTCCAATGAAGATGAGCTGGAAGATTATGATTTGGCATCGCTTTCGATATAAATCAAACCTCCCAAAACTAATATAGGGCAGGAAGGCAAAGGACAAAAAGAAGCCACTGACGAACCCTGAAATGTGGGCAAAATTATCAATCCAAGGCAGAAGGCCAAAGGCAAAGAGGAAAAGTACCACAGCCAGCAGCTTGAAGAAGGCCCTCCATGGCCGTGCCAGGATCTGCCAGCTCTGGAAAAGTTCCACAAAGAGGCAAGCCAGGATTCCAAACTGAGATCCTGCAGGACCAACCTGCAGAAGGAGAGGGGTACAGATTATAGAGGCAGCCAGACCAAACCAATTGTACTGACTATTCCCACCAGCTCCAGGCTTTGCAAAGTTGATCACTCTCTCATCCAGCAAAATGTTCCACATTTAGTAATGCTCACTGAAGAGCTCTTGAATTTTAAGCCTTTCCTAGCAGTGATCTTTGAGAAGAAAACTTAGTGATTCAGAGACCACGTGGTCTGTGCAGCTGGCAGTTGCAAAATATCTTCTGTGTGTGAACAAAGCAGATCTGATGTGGAGTCACTGAGGCAAAGCTATTTTACAGACCTTTCTAAGAGCACAGCCTTCAGATGCAGAGCTACCGATAGATGGGACCACACTGCAAACTGGCTCCTTACCCACACTGTGCTTTCCTTTAGCCTCCTTTCTGTGAATGTGTAACCATTTATGGAGACAGGATCCTCCAAGCCCTCCCACAGAATCTAAAACACAGAATCTAAAAAATCTTAATCTAAAAACACTAAGGACTGTCATCTGAGAGTTTTCCCAATACAGCAGTTGCTAATCACTAGTAGGGTCTCTAGGAGGATGTCAGGGGAAGGAGCACAGGGAAGAGCAGGGAATATTCTGTTCTTTGATCCCTCTTACAGTGTTCATACAACCAGCACTCTTGAGTGCTAGCTCTGGATCCCTCAGTGTCAGGAGACTTTACTTCTGCAAGTGAGAAAACATGGCATCAAGCCATCACTGTTACAGGCAGCCCATTACATTCTCAGGGCTGGTAACACAGTCTTTCCCTCAGATCCTCACTGCCATGCATCTGCATTTTCACAGACCTGCATTTTGCATATTGGCTTCTATTCTATCCAGGAGAGCACACAAACACCAACAGATTCCCTATGCCCAAAGAAGGGTGTTTGTGCCTGAAAGCTTACAAAGAACATTTTTTCCAATTATTTTGTTGGTCTAATAAAAGATATCACATCTACTCAAAGAACCAACACAGCCTTTCTGCACCCCTGTTTCAATGGGCTAGGCCATAAAAAGACAAAAGGAGGAAGTTCAGTCCTGGGGAATTTTACCACTCAGCAGCTAAATGGGACAGTGATACAGATCTGCACTTTTCCTTCTTGTAGCATCCTCCTCCCACAGAGGCTCAGAGAGAAGCTAGGACAGGGAAGAATCAGTGGAGCTCACAGCACCAGAAGCAGTTTGTTTCCTAAGAAAGCATGGGCCCTAGTACACACAACAATCACCAGATTTGGGCTCTCTGCCTACACTGGACATAGGAGAATTAGGGAGGGCTGTGTCAGCATCAGTGCTCACAGCAAATGACTAGAAAAGAGCTTCCCTGCTGTTGCAAGGAGACCTACCTCTGCTCTGTATGGCAGGAATATTGCGCTGGCTAGGTTTCCAGTGATGCCACTGAGCAAATAGATGATAGAGATACGATGCCAACCCGCCAGTTTCTCTAGGTCCCGCAGGATAGTCATCTGGAAACAGACTGAAACCAGGCAGTGCAGAATCCTACCAAATTAGAAGATCAAAGCTGAACAAAACCACACACAGTCCTGCTCTGTGCTTCCTGGTCAGGACTATCCATGGCTGCTGACCTACCCCTCTAGCATACTGCGTTTGCCCTGGCCCCAGCAGGCACCTTAGTCTTTCTGGGTTAGTTGCCCCAAGACTTAGTGGGATGCAGGGCATTGCCTGTAATACAACTCAGGAGGGAAAAATCACTGTTGCATCTCCCTCCAGTGGGAACTAAGAGGCTCCCTGCCGAAGAATACCCCCACCCTGCATCACAGTGACATAGAGGCCATGCCCTAGGGACTCCACAGACACCCTAGGATAGGTGGTAGCACAGGGACCAGTTTGTTTTTGCAGACTTACCCAGCATGGAGGAAGAGTGAGAGCCAGAGGCGGTAGAACTGGTCAGGGACCTCTGGGTTTAAGAAGGGCAGGAGGCCACAGACATCATCCATGCAGTGTACCTGGCACAGTGAGAGCTAGGTCAGCTGGGGCCAGGGACCCCCAGGGAGCTAGTAACATTAAGGACGTGGCAGGAAGCATTGGTGCTTGCTAGCAGTTGTTAGCCTCATACTTCACCCAAGTTAGCATTCCAGCCAAAGGCTGATACCTCTAGGTCAGCCTGGCTAGGGCTTGGTAGGGACTGGAAGAGGCATAATACTATAAATAGTTTATGTATGGCTGGTCTGCCAAGCCACAAGCTCTTCTCCAGGGCTCTGAAGGATTTAGCAGGGCTCAGCCCAGATCCCTTTTTAACCCCCGTCTTCCTCTCCCTTTCTCAAGCAGCAACTGTGCATCCCAGCCCAACATAGCTAGCATAAGGGAAAGCATCCCAACTCTGATAGTCTTTGGAAAAGCTGGGTTTTTGTGCCAAGGGCTGACAAAGCCTAAATGCTTGGGACAGAGGTTTGTCCTCAATCCCAGTGCCATACATCAGCAGTCTCACCTTACTCGAGTGTGAACAGCAGCATTACTGCCCAGCTTACCCCAGTGTGCACAGCAGCATTACTGCCCAGCTCCCAAAGGGGAATGAGCAGTACATAAGTACCTTTGTTCATAAATGTAGCAAGAAGGCATCAAAATGCAAAGTCCACAGGATAGTGGCATTTACCCTTGAGTCCCTTCACCCTCAAGCTTATCGGGTGACCCATGTAATAGTCAGGTTGGAGCAAGCTTGTGTGTGTTGCCCCTGTTGCTAGGATGGCACAGTTCTGTCTTGTTCTAATGGCCTAATATCATGGTACACAGGCACTAACACAATGTGCTGCTTCAAAAGGTGAATGTGGTTTTGGACTGCATCAATAGGAACAGTATGTACAAGACACAGATGATAGTGCCTTTTTCCTTAGCACTGGTTAGGCCTCATCTAGAACACTGTGTGCAGGTTTGGATTCCACTTTTTAAAAAAGGACATGAAAAAGGTAAACAGGGTCCAGCATCAAGTGGCAGAAATAATAATGGGCGTGGAAGGCAAGCCATTTGACAGGCTGAAAGAAACAGGTAAGTTCACCTGCCAGAAAAGGTGATTAAGAGTGGGACATGATAGCAGTCTCCAAATATTAGAAATGCTGCCAGAAATGAGAGAAAATAGCCTTTTTCCTTGTCACAGAGAGGAGGTGTATTAATGGCTTGAAGTTGCAGCAAAGTATGTTTTGATTTGTTATCAGGAAAAGCTTTACTGTAAGAGCAGTGTGGCAGCAGACTAGATTGCTTAAGGAAGTTGTGGGGACTCCACCACTGGAGGCTGACTAAGCATATGTCAGATATGATCTAGGGATAGCTATGCCTGGAGTGGTCTATAAAGAGCAACAGTTAGAAGCCCAGGACCTGCTGACACCACGCACACACTTTAAAAACCAGGCAGGATAGCGCTGAAGTAGTCTGTGGCTGGGGCCTGGGCTGATTGTAGCCATCTGACCCAGAAGGAAGATATAAGCCCAGGCCCTGAGATGAGCCAACAGTAACAGTTTGGAGCCTGCTGAGAAACTACCA